TCTGCCTCAAGTCAACATCCCTGGTGACAGGCTGTGGTTTGGCAGACCAACAAGGAGGCGCTTGGTTGGCAGAAGCTCGAGGCGTATTGTCGAGAAATGCGTCAGTATGTTTCGGCGGTTGGAGTTTGGATTGAAATTTTCTGCTTCTCTGTACCACTTCCTTGTACTTTGCGAAGAGACATGAGTCTCGGCCCGTGCATCTTGTCGGCTCTCGGATCTGATGAGCGCACAGGACAAGTGTGAAGGTCAAGGAAAGCGATTGTGCACGTGGATGCCTCGTGTGAATTCCAAATCAAGACTGACGTCACTGATGTCTGATGTCCCATGAGCTGTGCTGAGGTATTCGGAGCTCTGCCAAAAGAAGGGCCAGCGGCCGGTGGGAGGCCGGGGCGGAGACCGGAGTGGCTGTGTGAAGCTTCGTCGATCAAGGCCCCGTGCTGACCAGGCCTTCAGTCCACGTCGGATGCCTGGTGCCCCATCCTGGAAGATGACATGGTGACCCCCAACTACGTGCAAGTCGGTGTCTCGCTCCCAGCTCCGGATATATCGATCTCCATACAGAGATTACCCTGGAGCTTTGACCGAGGCAACGCTGCATCATCCGACTTGCAAGAAGCTGACGGAGGCCCACAGGCTGGACGCGGTGTCCTGGCCTTTCAGCGACGAGCGCGCGGACCTGCGGGAGGCCGGCTCCTCTGCTTTAGGCTCGCATCTTCTCTCGGGGAGACTCGGAGACGCGGCAGGTCCTGGCCTGCTGCGAGGCGGGTGCAAGCACTCTCAAGCACTGCTCAGCCTGACTTTTGCTTCTCCAGCTTTGGAGCCTTCTCTTTTCGGTGGCCGGGCCTGCAGGGCTGGACCGGCCGCGGATCGCGGTGGCGAGGGAAGGACTTGACCTGGCGCCATCAGAGTTCACGGGACCGGTTGCGCCCTGGATCCAAGCTGGGCTTGGTACGCTTGGTAGAGGCGAGGACCAGGAGGTAGGCTTCGGATTTGGCACGTAGTGCCTGTGTTCTTTTCCGGCACCGTCCGATCGCTTCACGCTTCGGTGGAAGTCCTTGACGGACCTTCGTGGTGCCGCCAGTTCCAAGGACGATCTGGGGGAAACCATGGCAGAATGGTCAGGCCCCGGCACGGACCCGGTGCGTGGAGTAGCTACAGCCCGAGATCCTCCTTTTGGGAGGTCTTCTATCAACGAGTCCCGAGCTACTTGCGGTTCCCTCTGCGAGGGCTACTTGGCGGAGAAATGCTGCTCTCTCTGCCAGCTTCAGCTCCGGCGCCCAAGGACGCAGGATGTCAACACTGGCAATTCCAACGAGTTGATCTTGTCCGAGCCAGCTCTGGTGTATCTGTTTGGGCCCAAGAGACAGACAAAGAGCAGTACTCGCCGGAACCGGTAGAGCAGCTGGCAGCTGGGAGGCTGCGCGCGGATCGCTGGTCCGCCGTGCCCTTGGGTGGCTGGACGAACACCGGGGACGTCGGGTACTACCTTGGTAGCCGTGCCGGGAAGGCAGTCCCTGCTCTTTGCTGTTTCTGTTGCAAGTCGGAAGCAGATCGTGCGATGCCGACGACGCAGGTGCGGATATACTGGAAGTTCCTGGACATGGGGAAGCACATCATCGACAACTACTCAGGCGCCGTTGGAGCTAGGAAGTCGTGTTGTGTTGAGACTGGATTGGGTAGTCTTTCTGTCTCCGAAGGCATGTACCTGGTGAGCAGCGCTGCGCTGCCTTCCTGCGTGGGTGCGGAGGGTGCAAAGATTCCGCAGGGCTTCGTCTGGCCCGAGAAGTATCCGAGCAAAGCCGCCGCCACCATCGAAGAGGTTTGGGAGAATAACCGGAAGGGCATCTATGGTCGCAAAGTCCCGCGGCTTCGCATATGATTGAGCATGTTCCAGCCGCTTTCTGCTTGTGCTTTGCTGAGGTGCAGGGCATGAAGTTTGCGGCGCTCACCCTCAAGGAGTCGCAAGACAATGGAGGAGACTACTACATCCTCTTCAGCAATCGGCCACCGAGTGAACAACCCTTGCCGTCAAGCGACTGCTCTGCCGGCGCCGCCTTAAAGTATGGCATCAAGCCGAAATCTAAAGTCAGGAAACAGGGTCAGTTTGCGACGACCTGGAAGAGCTCGGGAACGACCTGGAAGGCTGGAGTCAGACAAGCCCTTGGTAGTTGCAGAGTCGGTTCCAAGAGACTGCACTGACGCAGGTGTACACGGGAGTTGACCTTTGGGAGCAATTCGGCAGCGCAAACTCCAAGTGCCTGGAAGAGACGCCTCAGACCACAACAGAGGTTGCCGACCAGTCAGACCCTTTGCAGCTGAGACGGTTGTTGAAGAACCCGTGACCATTGTTCTGCGTAAGACTTGAATAGATGGTTGTGTGCTGCCTGGGCCACCATGTCAGGAATGCCAGATGCAGGCCGTGGCCAAGAACCACCGCTGCCAGGCTGCAGCCCAGTCTTACACGTGGCTCACGTCTTGGATGGTTCGTTCTGACCCCTCCTGAGGGAGTCCTCTTATCATACACTGCTTGTTCCATGATGGAGAAAGGCTACGTGCTTGTATTTACCTGGAAACATCGTTATGATCGAAGACAGTGTATTCTGTGTCGCCATTTGCAATGATTGACGTGGCATTATGTGCCCCTTTATGTACTATGTATGTGCGCACACACGTAGAGGCACATTCATGCAAACGTACGGACACGCCTCTAGACTCTTTCTGCAAATTCGAACGGAAGGGTATATGTTCGGTTTCTTCGTAAATCGGCTGCATGACAATCCTCGTCGTGGCAGGCACGCAGATCCGCAGAAAATGACTGGTTTTGTAAAGTCTGTTTTTATTTACATACGTGCTACTATGTGTCAGCATGTGCTTATGATCGGAATGAAGCAGACGGGTAATGGCAATATTAGCATGTTTTCATAGTTGTTTGCGTCTCTGAGTCTGTCTTTTCGTCTGCCTGGCGATCGTAAACACAGACATTCGTCCCCTTTTCGACACGCAAGGCTAACGACACGTTTTGCGCGTGTTGGGCACTCTGTCAATGGAATCAGTTCTTCCCAAAAACCCCTGGGGGGTTGGGTTCAAGAATCATCTTTTCATCTTTCCTTTTTGCGGGGGATTCACAAAAAAAAGTTGCCGTGGACCGGAAAAGCCAACTAGCGAAGAGGATGCGTCCACCGCATCGTGTCGACAGAGGCCGTGGACGGGGACGGGTGGGACTGGTTTGGAGCTCTGGGTGCCGAGCGTTCGCAAAAGGACGCGGCGGACCGTTTGCGGGAGGAAACGGCCGTGGACGGGGGCGGGTGAGATGGGTGGGAGGCTCAGGACGTGGCCGTGGACGGGCTGCAGCTCAATTAGGACGCCTTTGCCCGGACGGCTGGGTGGGGATCTCCGGGTGCCGAGTGGACGGCGAAAAAAGTCAGAAAACCCTGCTCCGGATTGTTGCTCTTCCTCATGCCTAAAGAACGGTTTGGTTTTTGGGTTCCCGGTTTGCCTTGTTTACTTGAGAAGCATTCACAGTTTCAAGGCGGTGGTCTCCTGAGAATGCCTGTCTGAGGCTACTACCAGCTGCTTCACAATACGAAAGGCATGTCGAAGTGCGTGACGTCCAGCAGCTGCGAGGCGCCAATGACAGGCGGGGTGCAGTCAGTGCAGGGCGTGTTTGAGTCCCTTTTTGCCGTGAGCTGGCGTTCTTTTGCCTCGCTGCCTCGCGAGGCACCGTGGCGGCCTGGAAAGTCTTCGCCAAGGATGGGCCCTGGAAGCGCTTTGGCTCCGGGAGCCGCTGCAGTGCCATGCCTGTCCTCGACTACAGAGGAGCCGGGCATTGCACCAACGGCCCCTCGGCCTCGGCAGGGCGGCTGTTAAGAAAAGCTATTCTTACAAGTCTCCGGAGAAAGTCTGCTACCGCCTCTCGTGCGCGATGCGCTTTGAGGTCTCGTGTATTCTTCCAAAGCCTGGGAGCTGGCAGACAGCAAGTGGGGTCGAAAGGAGTTCCACACGGATCAGTACAAGGCCGGAGCACATGACTTTTGGCGTGCACGGCGGTGCGTCTTGTTCGGGTCCTACCCCGGCGGAAGTTGAGTAAGAGCATCATGTGCCCCGCTCGTGCGGATCGCGAGATCCAATGCACAGGAAACGAACCGGAGAAGCAACGTCCACCTCTGCTGCAAAAATCTCAGCAGGTTGCAACACTGTGCATCCTCGAGGCGCTAGTGCCACAAGCAGTGGAAGGCACTGCTGGATCATGCCACAGTCGAATTTCGGGGACGAGGCTGACAGAACACAGACAGAAACAGCGTGACCGCGACTTCTGCCCTTGCAACCACGTTACTCCCTTGTGTCTCGAGAAGCCAGGAAATCGATTCCCGAAGATTTTGTCCAGACTCACTGCGACCTCTGCCCTTTCGTTGTGACAGGCATGGATGAAAACTGCATGGGCCAAGTGCTTGTCGAGGGACCCGAAGACCACCTTCGTCAGTGTTTGGACAGATGCTGGTTACAGGTGCCTTGCGCCATATTTCAGAACCTTTTGTCAGGCCTTGGAAGTTGTCGCAGATTTTGGGAGCGAGGTCCGAAGGCTTCGCTGATCCGAGGTGCTTCAAGACCTTGGACTGCAAACCGAACGGAGCCACAGGGGCTAGGACTTGGTCAGCGGCCGGCCTGGGCAAGGCTCGCTTTTTCCCTGAGGCTTTTGCTACAAGCCTTTACTGTAGCGCCTGGCTGGGCCTGCAGAGTTCCCTGCAAGGCCTCGGTGCACCTGCGAGTGTCGGGGGGCGTCACCGGCGAGAAGGCCTTCCTAAACACCGTGCCTGCGGGCACCAAGGTGGACTTGTCCACGAAGGCAGAAGCACGCACGAGCACGCACACGCCCGCGCGAGTGTGTTCTGCGACCTCGCGACCTCGCGGCCCTTGGAAGGATGACTTCAGCGGCCGGCAGCGCTGGACCATCACTCGAGGGAGCGGAGACTGGTACAACATCCGATCACTGGGTGGCCCGAAGGGCCGTGTGTTTCTCAGTGTCAGCGCCAGCGGTGACAAGGCCGTGAACAAGTCTCTCAGGGCCCACAAGGGATCTGTGCGTTGCAGGGCACCGGAGCTCGGAACATGAAAGGTCTGTGTTTTCTGCTGACAGGTCAGTCTAGCCCCACGGGACGATGGCAGCGGTCGTCAGAGGTGGAGAATCAGGCATGGCAGTGGAGATTGGTATCGCATCTCGATTGCTGGCGGTGTGGGCGGCAAGCGGCGTTTTCTCAGCACGACGGCACGCGACTTGCAAAGCACATTCAGCTTGTGCATGTACCATGATTGTTTGTTTCCTTGCTGTGTACAACCGGATGGCCTGGTCTAGGTGGTGATGCCGTGGACCTCCACGTGGCAGATCTTTGGCTGCAGACCAGCATTTTGATGCATGGTATGCGTTGGCCACATGCAGCTTCGGGCAGCGCGTGCAATTCCTGTCCCACAGGACGACGGCAGTGGACGGCAAAGGTGGCTTGTTGGTTTCGAGGCTCCAAGATGCTCCGAACGCAAAATTTCTGCCTCTTGCAGTTGAACACTGATACCTTTACCTGTGGCTGTGTTCCAGGCAGATGCCGAACGACTTACTTCTTGGGCGGAGCACAACTTCAACGATCGCCCTTCGGAAGAACGGGTATGCAATCATAGTTTTTGTTCGAGCCACGCTTGTTTTTGCTTCAGGTGGGAATACGCAGCTGGTGCAGCACCAGACCTATACATATCGTTTAAGCACGGGCTATCCTTGTATGCTCACCGGCTGGACTCACACGCGAACGTATGCTCGGGGCTTTCTGCGAGCTGTGACCGGGACTGCGACGGCCACGGTGAAGGATCTGGAGCCGGGTGGATTTTACGTCTGGAGGATCTACCAGTTCGCCAGCATCTTGTCCCCCATGTAGGACATCAAAGATGGCGAGTGTTGTTTCCATTATTCAGCACTGCTGCACGGGTGGTTTCTTAATGATTTGTTGATGTCCCGTTGTGTGCGTGAGTGTGCTTTCAACCATTTTTTCAGTGATGCCTCGAAGAGTCCACGATATTCTCTTTGTTTTGTGTTCGGCCCTCAGACAAGCAAAGTCCACCTCCCAGATGACATCTGACAGCGGTTTATCCAGAAGAGAGATACGTCTTCGCGATGTTTCAAGAAACCGTGAAGAGACTCTGAAGCTTTTCACTATGGAGTGTGGGACAATACTTGGGTAGACTCGGAATTGGGACGCTGTGATGCTTGGATGATTAAGGCTTTGGTGCAGGCACGAACGGACTCTCCGTCAACGGCGTGAAAGAAGGCAGCACAACGTCGCTGTCGCTGACAGACTCTGCTGCAAGCAAGTTGGGCATGACGCGGGCAGTCGCTCGGCTCCGGCATTTTGACTTCGACGAATGCCTTTTTTTAAAAGGGGAGAGTCACCCCGTGACAAGGACATGCAGGGCCGCATCTCCTTCTCCTTCATTCGCTCGTTCTGCGCTTAGCAAACCGCCCTGTTTCGTGGTCCTAAGTCCTATGGAGATGTGAGGGCTCTGAGGGCTCTGAGGGTCGGAGTCTGAGGTCGACCCACGTGCAGCTCTCCGGCCTGACCGTGAAGCGCTTCGACGAGGCGCTGGACGAGCATCTGACCTCCCTGGAAGAGAGACTCGGCCTTGCACACGCTAGAAGATGCCGTTGGCTCCATGGCGCAATGTGTTTGCAACATGGGAGGTGCTCTGAGTGCCTCGCATGTGTTGCGTGTCATCCGAACAAACCGGAGGAATCACTTCAACACTCGCGGCGATTCCAGCCTGAACGAGAAAAGTGTCTACTCCTACGTGTTGGCTCACGGCTACAAGTGCGACCTAACCGGTTGGACTCACACGAGCTGCTCGGCAAATTCAGTTTGATCAAGTCAGCCCAAGACATGATCACACAGTCCTTCATGGGCGAAAGGGCCACTGCTGCAGGAAAATATGCACACGGCTTCTTGCGGAACAAGCCTGGCGACGGCAAAGCTACAGTTTCAGGACTGGAACCGGGCGCCGAGTATGCTTTCAAGATTTACCAGTACGCAGCCCAGTTTGCTGGAAATAGCGAAATCGTGGTGAACGGTTGCTCGGCTCACATCTCCTTGTTGTGCGTCGTTGAAGCCTCAATTATGTACAGCCCTAAATACAGTCCCAAAGGCCCTAACTAACTAGCCCACGACAGGAATAGTGTGTGTCAGGTTCTGAGGCCCTCGCACGCTTCAGACACTGTCCCCATGTTCAGACGTGTGAAAAGGTGACTCCAAAGGGCTTGCCGCCGCCTCGAAGTCGGCAGAAGCGACGAAGCTGGGTCTGGCCCAAGCAGATGGCGACGGCAGAATTCACTTTGCCTTCAAGCGGATCTCGCCTCACGTGCCGTCGCTGATTTTGGTCTCAAAACTTTGGGGGGCCAAGCCAGACTGCACTGCCCAGGTGCATCTGTCCGGATTGGCCATCAGTCGAATTTACAGCCCGCCGGTGAGGGTCTCCGCCGTGGGAACCTTGGATCTCTGTCAGGAGATCTGTCTGCGGAGACCCTCATGCACTGGTTTCGAGCTCCGGAGTCAAAAATGCGCACCTTGGCAGCCCTTGGGCCTCGACCCCGCGCAAGCGCGAGCAAGCCATTTCAGCATACACGGCTCCCTGAGATTCTAGACCTTATAATTAATGCAAGCAGTTACCACCGTGGATGTGTCCAAGGCTTTGTGGAGCGCACCCCTTCGTGCGACCAGCGGGAGCTCCGAAGCCTCCGAGTGCGTCTCTCTGCTGCCGGAGTTCTTCGACTGCAACGTGACACAAAATCAAGAGAGTTATGCAACCACAGACGCGAAAGTTGGCGGTCGGGCCCGGCAGGTTCGTTTACCCTCGCCGACACACAGGGCGGGGAGGCGACAACAAGCGCTGGCGACGGGGTCCAGGCAGAGCGCAGAGCACGGCAGAGCACGGCAGAGCACGGCAGGTCGGAGTCGAGTGGTCTTTGTAACCAGGTGGCCCGAAGGGTACGGATTTCGGCAACGGGGAGTCGCAGTACACAGCTGGCCCCTACGTCGCTGGCCTCAGAGCCCTCAGAGCCCTTGCCCCTCAAAGCCCAAACGGTGCACTGAGGAATTCCTCTCCGTGGAGACGCGCCGCCTTTGCGAGAGGAGCTGCAGCGAGCGCAGTTGGTGCGGCGGCCTCGGAGTCTGTGGTCCGTCTTCCTTCGGGGATCCTCCGACGCTGCTTTTTTTTTTTGTGTGGGCTTTTCTGAGGCGCCGGCTACGCCTTCAAGCACTCGAAGTCACAAGGCAGACTGCCTGACTGGCAGGTGGGGGCCTGCCAACTGGCCCGGGCCTTGGCCCCCAAAGCGCCACAGCGCCTTTTCGCTGAATGCGGACTTGCGTGAGGTCGGGCGGCGCGTTGCGACGGCAACGCGGGTCCCCCAAGTGGCCTCCTTCGGGAAGGCAAGCTGCTCCGTGTCTAGCATTGTCTGACCTCGTTCGTGTCTCGGTCGTCTTTGCCACACCAGGCCGGCCTTTGGCAGAGTCACGGTCCCAGCAAGTGCCAGCTGCCGCCCAAGATGCTCTTCAAGGAGGAGGGCCACTGCACCAAAGGCGCCACTGATCAAGCCAAGGCTGTCGGAGTTGCCGGAGACTGCTGCCCTTCCCCTTTCGACAGGTCAGGTTTACAGCTCCCATGCCTGGGAGCTGTCTGCGCCTGTGGGCCCCAAAGGCTCGGGTGCAAGCCGCATGAGACTCAATGCCGGTGACAAGCTGGTGAAGGCTTAAAGTCATGAAGGCGTCTCAGCACACGCTGCCTGAATGCAGGCTTTGCTTCCCCCGAGTATTCGTCATGGCTCTCATTAGCATGGAGGAGGTGTCAAACACGAGATCGGGACACGGCCTTTGTGTGCCTTGGTTGCATGCTGTGCTAGGCCCCCGTGAGGCCATGTCCAATATCTCTTCGCTGAGGAGCGTCTGGACAGATGCAGGATACAGGTGCTACAAGTCCGCTTCTTGCAGCGTCCACGCCGACGGTCGTGCCAGGCAGGAGTGCGTCTGGGACTTGCGCAGCGCAAAATACAGCGCATGAGAGGTCCTGGAGCGCAGTTGGCCCAGAGAAGCTGTCGTCCCTGAAAGAACAGAACTTTAATGATCGCGGGCAGAGGCCTCGTGTGTTCGCTTGTGGATGTTCATGTCGTGCTGACATGCTGCTGTCTGCACGGACCTCGGCAAGGACCCTGAATATGAGAAAAACCTACACGTACAAGCTCAGCAATGGCTTCACGTGCACCTTGAGAGGATGGACTCACACAAGGACCTTGAAATTCCACCCCACTATGTGTCGGATGGCCAAGCTCTGTCAGAAAAGCCTGCCACGACCACACGATTGTTGCAGTTGTGTGGATCGAAGCATCAAAATCCATTGTAGGCCTGTAAGTCTGTGTCAGGAGCTATGCCAAGGGCTTCCTGCGAAACAAGCCTGGGTCGGGCTCCGCGCCATCCCCGGGAGAAGTCTCGTCAAAGTGGGAGAAGATTCCTCCGTCTGACTGTGAGGCCATCGTCTCCGGACTGCAGCCGGGAGAGCAGTACGTGGCCTGGCTGCACACTGTGGGACACTAAGCTTCGGCAGCTTGATTTGCGGCTGCAGATCAGGTGTGGCAGCTCTACCAGTACGCCGCGCTCTTCGCTGGCAAGAACGCCGTGCGCGTGAACGGCCTCGACCAAGGCCTTGCGGAGCAGGGGAAGAGCGAGGAGCCGACGCTGCTGGGCATGGCCAAAGCCGACTCCAAGGGCCAAGTCGTCTTCGCGTTCACGCGGAACGCCAAGCACGTGCACCTCTCCGGCCTGGCCATCCGACACCTCAACGAGGCGCGTGCGAGGGTGTGAGGAGGTCGTGCAAGGAGGGTGAGCGTCTGTGCTCTGTGTGAACCAGAAGCACCTTTCAGGCACGGACGGAGCGCCTGTCCTCGCTGACACAGAACTCATTTCACATGCGGCGGCGAGGAAATCGGAATCTTGACAGAAACAACGGCGACCCGGCATTGATAGGTTTCGACTGGCTGACCTAGTTTCCTCTCTGGCTGGACCCATGTCGTGGATTGTCGTGGAGCGCTGAGGTTACGTTTACAAGCTCAGCAACGGCTACAACTGCGAGCTCAAGGGCTGGACTCACAGCCGAGACTATGCATCTTGTTGCAGCAGTATCGCCAAACACAAGTGCCAGTGGAAAGGGTGAGCACGGTGACCCTACTCCAAGGCAAGAGGTGTCCTTCGCAACGTGGTCGGCAAAGCGACTGCCGTGGTCTCTGGCTTGGAGCCAGGCCGTGATGAAGAATGCTTTGCAAGTGCTTTGCCGACTTTCTTCGGAGTCTGCTGACTGGCAGGAGCTCTTTACTCGTGGAAGGTGTATCAGTTCGCCTCACAGTTCGGCGGCTCCAACGGGCTCTCCGTGAACGGCGAGCTCGGAACTGAATGAGCAGACGGCATTCTGTGCGGCGTTCGGTGCGTCGCATGAAACGAGCTTCTGTTTTTTTCAGGTTCATGGGTCTGACCGTGGCATCGCGTCGCACAGATGCCACCAAGACCGGGGCCCATCGAGCCAGCGCTCACGGAAGGATCACTTTCGAGTTTCAGAGGAGATTGCATCAAGTAGCCAGCAGCAGTTAGCATCAGGTAGCTTGTTCCAGCCCGGAGAACCTTTTTCAGGAGGTCGGCTCACGTCCATCTATCTGGGATTGCCTTAGGCAAGGTCTATGAGGCGCAGCAGGGTTGAACCCGAAACCGTCATGGCAATGGTAGCCCCTGGCAAAGGCTGGCGATGAGTATCTGTCCTCAGTCGACGAAAACAACTTCGATGACCCTCAGCACACATCAACCTATCGAGAAGCCTGCGGCGGGGTATGTTGTATGTTCGCTTGAGCCTGTTCTTGCGCTGTTGGTGCTCGGTGGATCTTGCCTCCTCTCTCAGTTCGGGTCTGATTCCTTCTGGGTCTTCGGCTTCGTTCGAGTTCAAGCATGTAAGGACCGCGGCAACGTCAACTTGAACTCGGCGGCCGCATACGCCTACAAGCTGAGTAATGGCTACCCCTGTACACTGAGAGGATGGACCCACAGCAGGTACTACGCAAAAGGTTTCGTTCGAAACCAAGCAGGCAGCGCCACAGCGGTGGTGTCTGGCTTGGAGCCTGGGAAGTTATACGCTTGGAAAATCTACCAATATGCTGCTGCGTGCCTTGATTGACATTTCGTTGTGTATATATATATATATATGTGTGTGTGTGTGTGTCACTGTGCCATATTATGCACATGATGTTGCACCGATGTGAGGTACGGGGGTAGGAACAAACTGCGGGTGAATGGCGGCAACTTCGTGTGGACCACGTCGTCCAAGAGCGACGCGCCAACTCGAACGGGTGCCTGGGCTTCGACGGAGGAGCTCTGCATCTGCGCATGCATGCCGTGCCACTGCCGTCCCCGAGGCTTGACGAAGGCGAAGCCTTCTGGCCGGTTCCTCGGTGCTCGCTGTCGGTCGCGTTGTCCGGTCCGTTCCTTGTTCCTTTGCGGTCGGAGGCGAGATCTCTTTCGAGTTCGTCCGCCAAGCGCACCACGTGCACTTGTCCGGCGTGGCCATTGGCAGAGTGCGAGAGGCGAAAAGGGGAAGTTGTTCTGGAGTGCTGAATGCGTGAGCACCGAGCAAACGGGCGAGGTCGAGTCACCCGACCTCCAGGCCAGGCGGGCGCGGGACCGTGGGAGTTCCTTCTTTTTTTTACCGATCCGGTGGACATGCCGGGCCTTGTGAGGAGCTGACCTCCAACAGTTTGGATGCCTGCAAGCGAAGCTGCGAGAAGAAGGCGGGTTGCCAAGGAGCCTTGACCGAGCTTTCGGCATCCAGGGTCAAGCGCTGCTGCTCCTTTGCTCGCTTCTTTGCTCGATGGTCGTACCTGAGGAGTCCAATATGACTCGCCCAAGAAGCGCAGCTCGGCTTGGGTTTCCTTTCGTCTCCTGTACGCCCTTTTCCATGATCATTTCGCTCATTACCTTCAGGCTGCAGCTTGTGGTCAAGTCCCTTCGAGTCGGTTCCAGCGGTGGGAGATGGAGTCGAATGCCTCTCTTGGCGGCGGCTGTAAGCCCCCCTGCTCAGCACCAGAGCCGTGCTCACTAGACAATCGTCCTTGGTGCTAAAGAGGAACGTGCTTCGGCTGTGTGCAGAGACTTCAAGTGAGCATGGTGTCTGCTACAAAAAGCCTCCGCGAAGAGGTAGGGTTTCGTGCAGGGCTCGTGTCGAAAAACTGCCGTGCCCCAAAGGCCTTCAACGACATTCGCAGCGGCTTGGGCTCCCCCGGCCTTGCTGTGGCTGTGGATCTCAGATACACATTTGACAGCGTCTTTCAACACCGGAAGCACGCAGCAGCGATGGAAGCACTCGTAGCGCGAAGGGAAGCACTCCGCAGCCAGCACGCCTCCAGCACGCCAGCAAGAGTGCAGACCTGGTAATCGGCAAGCCTTGCGCACGTTGTTCCGTCCGTCGCATGGCCACGACCGACCGCCTCATCGAGCTGTTCCGCCAGCTAGACAGGACGCCTCGGGCCGCCAGGGCCAAGGGCCCTTGGGGGCGATGTCAGAACGCATAAAATTTTCACTTTTGCTCAGAGGAACGGAGATGGAGTGATCGAGAGGAAGGACTGAGCCACGAGTTGCCAAGAGGGCGAGATCTCTGTCATGATTCATGATCGAGTCTGTAGCAGGAGCTCGGCCGGGTACTTGAGGCTCTGGACCCGATCTCCTGGACAGACGAGCGAATCGACCAGCTGCTGATCGAGGTGCAAGAGCTAAGCGAAGCTCGCGATGCCCTTGTTCGCGACCCTTGCAGGCAGACACCAATGTCGACGGCAAGATCCAGTACGGCGAGTTTGTCCGATGGCTTTTCACCGATGGCTCAGACCAGGTCGGGGCTTTGCTAGCAAAGGGGCGAGAACTCGGAACTCTTGTCTCTCCTTTGTTCCTCAGGCAGCCTTTTGTCGCTCCGTGAAGGTGCGGAAATCTCTGGGGCACTGTGAGATCCAAAAACGCGTGAGTCCTCAGAACCCTCCGTGCCAGGACATCTCCAAGGGCCTCCGCTTCCAGGTGGCGACAGACAGAAGGGCTCGGAACTGCATGATCGCCTTCTTCCAGTTGGGCTTCCACTAGTGGCCAAGGGGTAGAACAGGAGGATGCAGTGGACAGAGTGCCGCTGATTTAGGGCCGGTACTGTAGGCCTTGGGACTGAAAGCATTTCAGAACAGTGTATGATCTTTTGAACTGGACTCCCGGACATCTGTCGACCTGTCCTGACGAACAGACCTGTTGCACCAATGAGAAGGGGCGGTGCACCAAACGGATAGTTGAGCTGGAGCATGCCGCCACACAGCTCCACTGCCAGTCGCAACAGCAAGTTGAGCCAACGCATCAATGGGTGATGGTGTATCATCCGCACGTAGGCCCACATGTACCCAGTGAGTTTTCTTGCAATCTCACTCAGTCAGTTGTATAGATTGTAGCAGCGTTGGGATGTGCTCCGAGCAGCCACAAATTCGACGTTCCTCCGAGCTACGGCACGGGTAGAGAACAGGAAGTGTGCGTCGCCACAGTTGTGCAGGTGGAGGCCCTTGTCGGCCTCCGAGAACTTTGCTCGGTCCCTGAGAAAGAGAGGCAGTTCGCCGGCAGCGTTCCGATGGAGCAGCCGCTCTTGAACGATGAACGGCAGGAAAGAGGCGTTGGACCTGATACTCTCGATTCTGGAGCATATCATGGAGGTCGGGTTCTCTTTGCTTGGCGAGGCTTTGTCGTGGTTTTGTACATTGCTTTATGGAGGACCCTGAAGACTCGAAGCGCCGATCCATGAGTTGCGAAGAGCACCCAGGTGGGGAACCCGGAAAGGACCCCTGATGTTATACGTATGTTGCTGGCGTGTGCCGCTTCCTCGGTGTATACCTGCAAATGCAAGGCCAGACCCTTTTAAGAACGAGGCGGGCCACGGTTGCAGAGCCTGCAAGCGGCACGTTCAGCTGCATGACGTCAGCACTGCGCACTGCAGGGGTTGTGACTGGTTGTTCGCTGCTTACCAGGATGTTTTGCTGGCCAGATACCACACGTGACTGTTTGTGCATTCGAGAGTACAGAGAGCTGAATGCAACCTCCAAGACTGTCGGCGGTGGGCTACATAGATGATGGCCAGGACTTTGCAGAGGGCACACACCCCCAGTCAACTCAGTCCATTCCCGGAAGGAGCTCTCCCTGCCGTCTCGGACAGACCCTGCTTGGCTTCTGGAGGAGCTTTGAAATACTTAGACGCACTTTGAAGTCTTTGAGATCCTTTCGAAGAGTATCGTGTAGGAGCTCCGGAGACTGAAGCAGAAGGACTGGGACCTGTCGGAGGCCCGAGCCGTCACGAGGCACCCCGTCCTTCTGGAATTCCTGTTTGGACGTGCAGGTGGACCCGCCTGATGACCTGCCAACTGATCTGCCGCTTTCTCCCGTCGTTGAAGCCGGCCTACCACCCACGTGCCCTGAACTGCAGATCGGATCTCCGTGAGCGTGCACCTGTCACCCGAGAGCAGTGCCTTGCTGTCTTGGTTGAAGGTCTCGCTTGTTTGAAGGTGTCAGGAGCTGAGGAGACCTTTTGCAATAGTTTAGGCGACTGCTCGGGAGTGTAAGCATTTGCATCGCTCGGGGAGGTTTCGATGCCCAGCGACATCAAAGACCTGGTGAAGGTGTTGCAGGCTTTGCCTGAAATGGACAAGAGGCGTGCGTGTGCTGGGGACAGTGGCCTGACTCGTTGACGATGGAACCGTTTATCTGGGGAGGACGATGGGTGGCAAATGCATCCAGCAGACGCTAGCAATGGAGGATTTCATGACAGATCAGGCGAAACGGAGACTTACATCCGCTGCTTAGAGTCATCCTCCTGTATCTCAGGTGGGAATCCGACCGCTTCCCGGCAAGTACTTCGTGCAAGGCGCGTGGAGCTTCACATATTTTCCAGTGGATCAGGGTTTCCGGGGTGAGCCCTACACCCTCAAAGGGTTTAGGGTCTCCACGGCGCAAGAAACGAGAAGTTGACAACTGACACTTCTCCCTCCCAATGTGGAGGGTTGGTCACTTGGAGGCCTTGAGAATGCTCCCCTCCCTCCCTCCCTCCCTCC